ACACCCACTTCGCCTTATCAGACGGACGCATACAGAAAAAATGCAAAAATAAACCTACCCTAAGTTCTGTGTAATGAAATTTACAAAGGACTTTAAACGCTTGTATGGCCGCTTAACCATTTGGATGCAGTTGAGTAGGTGCAACATTCAACACCCTTAACACACCCATTTGGAAGTCGTCAAAAAGGAGTCTGACACCTAACTCCTTGAACATATACTCATATACATAAAAGGTGTCAACCCCTTCAACCTCTTCTCCTAAAAATACAAAGTTTGGATGATCGGTCCCATCGCCCCGACAGGTGTTTATTCCTATAGGATACGGATCTGAACTCTCCCACAAGGATATGTCACAATTATCTACAAAGGTTTGAAGACATTTATTCTTCTGGAAACGAGAAAAGTAGGCGGCCACTTATACCATGCACCCATTCGTATCCAGGTACGGAACATGGGAGGAAAATAGGTCTCTCTCGTGGGGGGCTCGCATTTGGTAGAGGCTGATCCGACTCAGTACCTGCTTGGGATGATTCGGTCTTTCCTTCCTAATATTAACCTCAGAACTACCCCTATTCGGTTGTGAAGAAACTTCTTCAAACCTATCATTTGTGAGGCTCTCGTCCTCGGCAGAAGTAGTCGGTCTCATAAGATCCGACAAGGAGTCCTCCCACACAATTGAACTAGCCATGACGATAATAGAAAAACAGAGGAAGGAGAGAAGCAAAGCATACCTTTCGGTTCAAAGAAATAACTGTGCAAAAACGGAAAAGGCAATGCACAAAAGATACTCTTCGGTGTAGAGCACAAGCATGTGAATAGAGGGATGGTCCACCACATATTTATAGAATCCAGGCCTTCGGGCAAGCGAAGGGTCACACCTTCTCTGAACCGTTAGATCTTCCTCAGATTTGACAACTAGAACCATGTATCCTTTCGTTTCAAAGGCTCTACACTCGAGGAAACCCTAGATTCAAAACCCTAATCCATTAACGTTGACATCACATCATCAATATCTTTTTGCTCACACCGAATACTTGACATGCACATATCGCTAGAGGTAAGCCGACTACCATGTCGTCTCTTGGTCGAGAACTCCACTAGTGGTTCCAGCCCTTTCGCTTTACAACCTCGGGCTTGGGGGGTGTACCAGGTAGGACACTATTCAGACTTAATTGTAGAAAGAAGAAACCGACTACCTCTTCGGCCTAATAAACCTTGATGTTGGTATTATTATTAAGTCCTTGCCTCGTACCTCGTCGGGCTCGGGGGGCTAGTGTACTGGATAGAGCCTTACTCGATCTTACTCATAGGAAAAGGTAACCACCATTCGGTTAATATAACCAAATACCCTCATCAGATTAAGAGGTAATTAACTTAATTGAGGATAATAATTAAAATATTATTTACTTTAATTAAAGGGCCAAAACTAATTAAAGGGCCAAAGTTAAGATGACTCAAGCCCATTAACCCATAACAAAGTCTATAAAAGAAAGGTAGGAATTCTAGGTTAAGGGGATTTTTTGGATTATTATTATAATAGTATTTGTTACTCATAACCGACATCTGACTTCAGCATCAGAGTGTCTTTTGCAGGTGGCCTCCCCACTTCAGCTACGTACAGAAAGACATTATCCCACTAGGGCAGAGACTAAAAGATTAGTGTTTTCCTAACAGGAACAATATCTGTCTATGTATTACAATAGTTGTATTATAATCACACCACTCAATCTATTATAACTCACCTATTACAATCACACATCTCACAATTCTACAATTGTTGCCCCTGAGATCTCTGGAGGTTATATAGATAGTCACCAATTAGCTCGAACAGCACGGATACAACATGTATTCCCTCGACCCCTTTTAGTAAAGGTATGTAAGAGGTCTAGTCAAGAAATGAATGTGTGACATGTGAGCAAATCATGTGCACCTACTTACGAATAGCATTCACCACCCTCATTTTTTGAAAATTTTTCAAATCGTCTCTGAACTCTATACTCTCAGTGTATCTATGTAATTATCTATACACAGTCTTAAGATTTCTTATGACACACATTTTATCACCATTTCTCTTTTCACTTAAATAACATAAATAACTTTAATTTTATATGTACACCCATTCACATCAGTCTTTTAATCTAAATTGTCACTAATAAAACATTTTATTATCTGAGGGCAATCAAATACTTTTTTTGTCAATAACATAAATTCACCGATTTCAACATACATAAGCTATTTGAAAAAAAAAAATCCATACTCATTGTAATATATTATTCTAATATAGATAAATCATCCATCAATTTCACATCATACAAATCATTGAAATATGTCGAAGGTCAAATACTCTTAAACTTAAACCAGTTGCATAGTAACACGCATTGAATTAAACCACATATATATTGTCAAAGATCACACTCTCTCAATCTTTTTATAAAAATAGTCTATCCTGAAGTTTAGCATCTTCTAGCACATATTATTCAATATAACATTAACTATACATACGTATTAATATCAAAATCATAAACTTTCCTAAAAACTTATGTTGCTCATAACTTTTGTTATAAAAATATTATCTAAGTATTTTCAAAAATAGATCATTGGGTTTTCATGCTAAAAATTCCATCCTTAGCACTGAAATCATAATAAATATTAGGGCTCTACTATTCAAAGCAAGAATATTGAAATTTTTAAGGCAAAATACAAAAATAGGAGTTAGGGTTTGGGATCAACTCCCCTTACTTGAAAATAGATCTCAGAGACTATATTCTCCTTGAGGTTCAAAGAAGAGGTACAATGCTTTTGATTGAAGTTTTTGCCCAAAAGACCAAGATATCCTTAAGTATTGCAAAATAAAAAACTTTTGAGCAAGAGAAAACAGAGAAAAAAAAAAAGGAGTGAAGCTAGAGAGTTAAGTTCTGAAAAACTTACTTAGGATCCGAATAGAATAGATGTTCAAGCTCGAATCTGGAAGAGATTTAGGGTTCGGGAGAATTTCTTTGAGAAGGGAAGATGAGAGAATAGGAAGAAATGATAGGGGAGGCTGTTTGATTATAAATGAAAATTTCTAACATAAAAGTTCCTTAAATACCTGTCCAAACTTGCACATTCACTTAAGTGAGGTCGACTCTCACATGAGCGAGACCTTTCTTGCTTGGACAATAAAATCAGACAATGATTTTACCCAATTTTTTTATGTTCTTGCTTGAATGAGAATGAGTCCAAGAAGCTCCATATTTTCCTGGCATTCCTCATATGAGTGAGTCACTTCTTAATTGGGCTAGAGAATAATTAAGACAATATTATCTTCTCTCGCTTGAGCAAAAGTGCTTCAGAATACTTGATTTCATTTGGCTTGAGCAAGAGGTTCTGCACTAATTTATATTATGCCACATAATTACAAAGGTGTCACCTTTTTCAATAAATTATTTCAGTATAATTTATAAAAGACTTATAATTTAAATTAAATTATTAATTAAATCTTTCCTATTCATGATGCAAGAAAACCTAATAGAATTTCAAATCTTTTGTTTTCATCATCCAATCCATAAAAGGTCTCTAATAATACTTGGAGCGATCAAATTTAACATATAACTAAATAATTTTTATCATAACATAATTTACTAAATTAAATAAAATTTGAATAATAGTAAATTTCATTTGATATTATTTAAATTTATAAATCATATACAAAATACGTTAGAATTTAATTTGCATAATTATAATATCAAAATTTACTAAGTCTTAATTAATAGATTACTCGCACACTAAAATTCCGAAAATATGATCCTTATCTTTGTCAATTTATAAAACATTCATTTTCTATTTGTTAGAAAGCAATCTTTTCCATTCCCTGTCCCCCGTGTTTTGGTCAACTCCATCCCTTGAATGCTCTCTAAAGTTGGAGAATTTGGCCCCAAACTTGAAGGCTTTGGGTTTGATGGCATGCTCACGGTCAAGGAGAGGACTATTTTCTACTATAATTGTGAATGAAAATAAGCTCAAAACAGAAGAGAATAAGTTGTACCAATACATTCTATAGAATTCCCTTTTCTTTGATTTCCAATTTTGATTCTTTTCATATTCTTTTAGTTAAAGGCTTCATTTTTAATAATGAGATTTATCTTTATTTTTAAAAACTTATAATAAAGTATAGATATAAATAAGTTGAGTCCAGTCAAATATATAAATTCAAACTTGTGAAAAAAAAAATAGACTATTAAAAAAGTTAGTTAATTTATTTATTCATCTGAAATGAAATTCAAAGTTATGGATCGTTTTATTACTCCTTTGAAAGGCATCTCTCTCTCTCTCTCTCTCTCTCTCTCTCTATATATATATATATATATAGGTAGCGAGACGTTATAAACCTCTGTAGCTATCATATATCCTCAAATTCTACATTTTCATCCAACTCAAATTCTTTTTTTTTTCGACATCTTGTCAATTAAGACTATTCAAGTTGTTCATAGTAGCTTTCAATGAAATTTTAGTTCTTAATAGTTTTGTACATTATTTGCTACTAAAATTTAGTTCATAGTAGCTTTCTACCTTACACATTGCTTCAACCATGGATCTTCGCAAACGACATGCTATAAACCTTCATTTTCACGCTTTAGACAAAAACTATAGCTATAGGGGCTGCTCTCTATCTTCCTCATTGTTTTTTTTAACAGTTATTTGTACTTTTGTTTTGTCAGTATTAAATTTTTGACTTTTACATTATTTCTTTTGTCTAATTTTATCAGACCCTCTTAGGGTAATTTTTTAATCTTTATTACAAAAAAAATTACAATTTTAAAATTTTCCTTGATAAAATTAACTCCAAACTTTTTATTTCATTACAATTTTCCTTTTTTTATAATTGACTTATTTATCAATTATAGTGATTAACTTAAAATATATTATATCAATTATGATAATCTGTTAATTATGACAATTTTTACCACCACAGTACCCAATACCCATAAGAAAAAAAAAACCAAATTAAAACTGAAAGTGATAACACCAAAATGCATAAAAAAATAAAATAAAATTAGAAAACTAAACCTAAATAAAAGTAAAAGTGGAGAACTACCCTAATTTTGCTTACATTTCATTCACTTTTTAAGCAAATGACATTTTTTGAGTCAAATCATTCTTTTGTAGGTGCTGAAACGTCTTTCATCCCTCAATGTAAGAATGTATTGAATTTGCAAGCAGATACCAACACCCAGTAACCTACAACTTTGCCATATAGAAATTGCAAAATTTTTAACTGCGTTCTCGAATTACTTTTCCTTTAAAGCCTGAGGAGACAACACATAAAACTCGAGAACCAATATTTCAAAATAACGCTAGTTGAAACTAATGAATAAAATTGGATTTTTCTTGAACGTTTACATTCTACCTGGTCTTCTAAACCTAAAGCAAGGTGTATAAGACTACAGATAGTAGAAACCGCTTTCTTCAACCTCGTGTAGAATCAGATCGCAAAAAGCATGAAAGCAATGATTCTATCAAGAATCAGCAGCGGTCACATCAACATTGCCATTTGGATGTTGCATTTTCTTCTTTCCTTTGCCAGGAGACTGCAGGATAGATCATGGAAAATGTCAAAAACACGACATTTAGATTATTCAAACTTAATAACACTATATTCGTATGTGTGTGCTCTTCCTCCTGCTATTGATACTAGACAATTAGTGCTATCTTCCTTCCGGTATTATACATGGGATTTGCAATAACAATAATAACTGTGCCTTACTACGTGAAATTGACTATATAGATTATACGATACAATTAAGCTTAGTTTAAAAACTAAATTTTCTGTTATACTATTTATAACTAAATATCTTTTAAGTTGTGTTTAAATGAAATGATTAAAAAAATTTTAAAAATTTTTAATTTTAAGAAATTTAAATTATACTATTCAAATTTCTATCATTTTAAAATATTTGTTTAGACAGAATAATTAAATTTCCTTCATTTCAAACATTTTTGTTTGAATAGAGTAATTAAATTACTTACATTCTTAAAAATATATTAAAATTATCACTATATTTAATAAAATTAATTAAAAATATAAAATTTAAATGATTAAATTAATCATATCTTAATAAAAATCTGAACGAAATACACAATAAATGATTAGCAATTCCAAATCCCCACCCTTTTGTTAGGATTTAAACTTCTTTGATTTTAGTTTATTAAAAATCTCCACTGAAGTTTCTAATTTTTTAAATTCTGTTAAATTAAACATCCAAACAACAAATTTTAACCCATAATATTGTAAATTCTTTTAACAAATGAATGACTCACTCGAAATATCTCATCCATTTTACACTCCTAAAGTGTTTTTGAGTATCCCTCTACCCCTTTTTATTGAATTAAAAGTCATCTGGTCTACATCTGGGAGTATGATACAATAATGCCACACATTTCAAGCAGTAATCAATCAGAATGCTTGACTCTTTCAAAAATCTGTTCAGTAAGCCAGTAATCAATTACTCACCCAGTAACCAATTATGCATTCGAAATTGCAGCCGCAATATTGCAATTAAAAAGATTTCTTTGACAGTAACTGCAATTGCATCGGCCATATTTACCCACAATTCATCACAATTTTGGCAATTGCAATGCAACCAACTAAATAATATAAATTACCAAGCCTCTACCAAATTTTGAGCTGACAGTAATTGATTATGGTGCTTTGAAACCTTGTAACATAAGTCCATCTTATGTTAATTGATTACCACATTACAATAAAACTTCTGCTTCATCCCAAGAGCACGTAACTGATGTTGGCAGAGGAGCAAATAATTGATATCAGTAAGAGACCTGAAGTGTAAAAGGTTTATGTTAGGAGGAAGGGTAGAAAAGAGTCAGTAGTTAGTTAGTTTGTTAATATTGCTAACTGATGCTATAAATAGAAAGTTAGTTCTCGATTGAGGCATGTTCTTTCTTGGTTGTTGTTTGGGGAGAATTTCATTCTCTGTTCAAGAGCTATTAACTCTGGAGATTCTTTGTAATCCAAATTCTTTCAAAGTGATCAATAAAACCATCATTTTTCTCCAATCTTTTCATTGATTTCATCTCTGAACCCTAACAATTGGTCAAACCTGCCAGATCCTACCCGATGTCAACAACGACGAATGATAGAGCAGAGGTTCTTGAATCTATGTTATAGAACATCAAAGCTTCACAAAAGATGTTGTAAGACATAATAAGGGAGATGAGCATCACGCAACAAGAATTGTTGAAGTAGATACAAAAGATGAGCGCTGCAAAGGTGCTGGAAGACCAGCCGCATATAGAGTCGTGCAGAGAGAATTGGAGAAGTGAATTGATGAGTGTAGGGGGAGAAAACCTCAATGTTGAGTTTCATTCTTCTGTTAAGAAGGTGGAACTCCCCACCTTCAATGGCATTGATCCTGCTGGATGGATTTGCAGAGCAGAGACTTATTTGGATGTGCATGGGACAAGTGAAGCCATGAAAGTGAAATAGGCTAAAATTTGTACGGAGGGGACCACGATTCATTGGTTCAATTTGCAGCATGAGGAGGAAACAACGTGGGATAATTTCAGACAGGCTTTGATAGTTATAGATTTGGGGGTGATCGCTTGGATAATCCTTTTGAGGAGTTAAATTTGCTGAAGCAAGAAGATTTTGTGGAAGGGTTCATTGAAGCTTTTGAAACACTTGTTCTCAAGTTCCAAAGTTGCCTAAGGCTCAGATCCTTGGGTATTTTGTGAGGTTTGAAAGAAGAGATCAGGTTGAGGATACGAACCCTAGACCTGTCAACTAGGCAGCATATGATGTGTTTGGCAAGGGAAATCAAGGCCGAAATATCGAAGGGGAGTGAGATTTCCCTGTCGTGAAATAGGTGTTTGGGTGGGGGAATATTGGGCAATAGAGGTTCAAGAAGGGGTATTGCGTCTCTGTTCAGCGAGAATCTGTGAACACGGGGAAACTCAGTTAGCCGAGGGTTTAAGGATCTGACCTTAGGTCCTTATTCCAGCATGGTGACAATGGCACAGTCAAGGGCAACGAGGAACAATGGTAGGAGTCATAACAGGGGCATGAGACATCTTCCTCATGAGGAGATGTTGGAGCATCGGCAGTTGGGTTTATGTTTTAAATGCGAAGAGAAATTTGGCCCTAGGCATCAATGTAGAGATCGTTCTCTATGCTTGACAGTTCTAGCGAAGGATGAAGAGAGGAAGATGAAGTCTTGGCGACCACAGTGGGAGATGGGTTTGAGGAGGACAGGAGAGAAGTAGAGTGCAAGGTGATGGGCTTCTTGGGCCTTGCGGCTGGAAGCCCAAACAGGACAAAAACCATGAAATTAAATGGGCTGATAGAGGGTGCACCTATGGTTATCCTTGTGGATAGTGCAGCAATTGAGAACTTTGTGGCTCCCCAAGTGGTCCTTTCTATGGGGCTAAAGGTGAGTGAAAAGCCCAAACTCAGTCAGGTTAGGAGATGGTCACCTAGTACTTACTAGAGGATATTGTTCTCAGATTTCCTACAGCTGTCTGGCACTGAGATGACATAAGACACACGTGTTGGACTTGGGTGGTTTAGACGATATATTGGGGTCACATGGCTTAAGACCTTAGGCATCGTGATGGTGGATTGGAGTGATATGAGCATGAGGATTACGTGGAAAGAAAATATGATTAAGCTTGAAGGGATCAGCTCTATGGAAAGTGGAAAACAGAGCTCATTTGAAGGAGATCAAATTCCTCTCTATAATCTGGTGAGTAGTGCAGCACCTTTGAATGATGGTTTGTAATGGATCAAGTCGGATCAGTGGGTGAAAGGTGAGCATGCAGATTTATCCTTTATACAAGAACAACAACTGGAACAAATTCTAGAGGAACATGAGGGCATTTTCAAAGAGTTGAGCGGTCTTCCTACCAAAAGGTCAACGGTTCACACCATTACCTTGAAGAATAGGCATTGAAAGAAGCTTGAGTTTGAAGTTGGAGATTGGGTTTTTCTAAAATTAAGACCCCACAAACAGCAGTCAGTTACCAACCGCATTCATAAAAAATTAGCCCCCCAAATTTTTTGCTCCTCATCAGATTTTAGAAAGGGTTGGAAAGGTTGCTTACAGGCTGTAGCTGCCTAGTTCCACTAAGATCCATCCTACCTTTCACATTTTTCAATTAAAAAGGGTTGTTGGACAATATGACTCTCCTACCAAACTACCTGCTGATTTAATCTCTGAAGACATGGCTGAACCTGAATTTGTGTTATTTAGACATCAGCTGAGGGTAAGAAGGTTAAGCAGTTTTTGGTTCAGTGGAAGGGTCTTCCTGTTACTGAAGCCACTTGGGAGGATGAATTTGTTCTGCAAAATCAATTTCCACATTTGAGCGTTGAGGACAAGGCTGTTTCTTCGGATGGAGGTATTGTTAGAACCATGGCAGAGGAGCAGATGATTGATATCAATAAGAGACCTAAAGTGTGGAAGGTTTATGTTAGGAGGAAGGGTAGAAAAGAGTCAGTTAGTTAGTTTGTTAACATTGCTAACCGATACTATAAAGAGTTAGTTCTTGATTGAGGCATATTCTTTCTTGGTGGTTTTTTTGGGGAGAATTTCATTCTCTATTCAGGAGCTATTAGCTTTGGGGGATTCTTTGTAATCCAAATTCTTTCCCAGTGATCAATAAAACCATCATTTTTCTCCAATCTTTTCATTGATTTCATCTTTGAATCCTTACAATTGATTACAAGAACCATGTAACTGATTACATGCCTGGAAAACAACACGGCAAATGCTGCCAGAAACATGTTTTGCAAAGTCCATAGCCAATGGCAAACTCATGGTAATTGTTTGCCAAGCCTTTGGAAAAGGCATAAGGCTAGTTTTTACGAGTAATTAATGAATCACTAACTCCCCCCCCCCCCACCCCACCCCACCCCACAATAACAACTCTTACAACAGTGGGTTATAAATGCTCACATCTGACAATTAATGCACCTGTTGAACAAATAACAACTTTTCAACAATCACAAATTCATGCATTGATAGTCTATACCATTACTGCTTTGTTTTCAGACCTTATCAGATATCTCTGAGAGCTTAATGGCGGCGTCAATTTGTATCACCATCCTAGAGAGTTCGTTTCTCACTTTTCTTATTCAATTCATTGCAAGAGGGTAAGGTATCCCCTCAAGAGAAAAGAATGCAATAACACTTGTTGGATGAGATGCAAAAACTAAAGGACGAAGTACACCAAGAGAACAAGGACATAAAATAGCATGAATCATACAAAAAGCAGTAAGAAGGAAAGTGATTAAGGCAATCATACCTTTCTCTTTGAAATCATTTTCCTCGAAGCAGCCTTGCCCATGATGCTTTTATAGTATTGTGTAAATGGAGTACTGCCAGTACGCTTTTCAACCTGCCAGATCAATCATTTAACAAGTCTAGTTACACCAATGACTGGAACCCTGATTCAGAGGGGAATGTAAAGTGAGAGATAACCTGAAGAAATGATTCAACAGACTGCTGATCTTTTGGTGAGAAAGGCACCTCTTCTCTTTTCTTTTGCATCAAGTCAATATTCATCTCTACCTGAATTTACCCACCACCCAACAGGAAAAAGCAAAGAGAGTTGGGTGAGGTGACTATATTTCAATGTCTGCTTAAAAAATGGCAAGAAAAGTTTGGCAATGTTAACTATTATATGGTTAATTCAGAAGGGCATGAAGTTAAACAAACTAAATAGTACACACCTATGCTGGGTACCTTAAACATCAAGCAGGGGTAGGTCCCCAGGAAAATGACACAACCGGTTACTTTTACTCTTTTGACAGAACATACAGTTAAAATAGCCAGTTTTCTATGTGGTTGTGATTTAAATGTTCCAACATGCTTGACAGTGTGTCAGATATTCATTTTGAATGACAAAATTCAAGATGGCACATAATCTACTCCAAATAGAGAGACAGGAAAAGAGGATTGCTGTTATTAGAACTTATACCTGGTCAATGAAACGCTTGATAACACGTCTGAAATTCTCAATAGAAGTTCTCTCAAAGAGCTTCTTGAGGTGGATAAGTGGAGTTGTTGCCAGCTCAGGAAAAGATATATGGTAGCTCCATTGGGCAAAGTGCTCCGAAAGGAGTTCAATGGCAGATGAGACACACTGTTCTTGGAAGTCATGTGATTTTAACCAATGCTTTGGAAGCTGAAATAATTTATAAAATGACAATTACAACAATTGAGTAAATGAGTTTAAACTGAAAAACCCTGCCCTGTCAAATTCATCACCGACCTTTATGGTAGACATAGGTTCAATGACTTTGCTAGGCTTCCCACTATCCTTAGTAATTTTGTATTCTAAAACATCCAGCACCAATGATGCAACAGGGATGAAAACCCCACTAGAATCAGCAAGATGATTCAGCCATTGGATACATCTCAGTCTCAGTGGTAAATATCTAGGCCCAGGAAACAGGAGAGCAACTCCATTTATAATCTGTACGATCATATACAGCAATGGCTGAAGATCATAGTCATGTATGTTTGCTGATATAAATGTAACCCAGAGATCGACACAATTGATGTACTGCCAACTGCAAATTGTCTTAACCACTTCCTGTCCATTAAATATAAGGTAAAATAACAAAATTTTCCCAGCATGGCAATACTATGATGCTCTAGAAACTTACACATGCTATCTAATTATTTAAAGGACTGAACATTTAAGTTTAATTTAAAATTGGCAACAAATATTGAAATTGTTTAAAGCTTACCTTTTCTTTGGTTTCCCACCCTTTGTGCAATATCTTACCCAGATACAGTATACATATGATTGCTTTGTTAGATGACTTCTGCATATCTATACAGCATAGCTCCACAAAGCAGTTCCTTAGAAAATGTATATGCTCAAATTTTTTCTCAACAAATTGAGAGTGACTAATGAAGGCCTTGTATGTTTTGACAAAGCAGAAGTCAAACCAATTTGATCCAAACACAGAAGCTATATCTCGTATAATGAGAAAGGAGTGTGATGACAGAGACCTATCACCTGTTGCCCAGATATGAACAGAAATCTGCAACAAATTTGAGTGCAAGGTAAGGAAGATGTTGCATTGCATGAGACACCTTAGTCAAGAGGCCAAGTATATAATATCTTACATTAAACACAAACCACAACTAAGTATCAACAGAATCTGATCATGTCTACCAAGTCGTCAACTCTTTGGATGAAACCTATTGTTACTTGTTACTATTAGAAAGTGATGAGCACACATTGGGTTTGATCTGTTACACAATGATCAGAAACCTCCCATTCAGAAGGTTTATTCAAGGAGTTGTGTGTAATTGAAAGATAGTTATGCCTTTGTGTTAGTTATGCTGTGTATTGTTTTTGTTTAATATAAGAATAGTGTGTAACAGCAGCAGTTATGTAGCTGTAACTCTGCAAAGTGTGCAATAGGGAGGTTACGTGGTAGTCATTCTCAATTCTGGATAGAGAATATCTTTGTGGTGAACATATGACTCTGGGACAAGAAGATACATTGCTCTATTTCTTTGTGAATTAATATAATATATTATCAATTCATCCCTTATGTTTTATTAGAAAGAATGTCACGGTAATCTGTGTAGTGAAGAAACATGGGATTTCTCTTCAAATATAAACTAAGATTATGAAATTCTTGCAAGAAGGTTGTGAGGCATAGCAAATGTCTAAGAAAATTAATTTCCAAAAGAAGATACTTCATAGTCAACAATGAATAGCTAACAAGAAATACACGATATAAGAAACTTGAAAACTATCAATTGGGAAAATGAAAATATGAAAAACGCCTCTCTTAAACAATCTTGACCAGTGTCTGATAAACAAATACAGAGAACTTCAAGTATCTTTTACCACTATTAAATTTAGGAATACCTCAAGAAGATTGCACATTAAAGATGGAAATGCAGAGAGAAAAATCATTGAGGCTCTGAGTTGACAAATTGAGAAGGCCAATATTTCAGAGTCAGTGATCTGATTCAGGAGAAACATAGTACTTCTTATATATGACTTAATAAGCGGTCTAAGAGACAACCATTTTGTTGTATTCTTTAGCTCCAAAATAGTTTCCTTCCTGGAACTCAAGTTTGATATTCCCAATAACCTCCGAAATATATTATCAGCCTCATGTAGCATGAACATCAATATGTTGCTGAAAGTTTCACTCTTCTGTGTGCCTTGAGATAAGACACAACCACTGACATTGATTGCTTCACCATCATTGTGGCATGCTGCCCTATAAGCATTTATGAGACAAGTAAGGGCAGGAACGCTATCCTGTTCTTTGACCAGTTTACACAATGAATCAACGTATGCACTTGTCATCTGTTTACCCACATGAGAACATGCATTGTTGTCAATCACTGGCTGCAGCCCATCTAAACTTTCTCCGTCATCGGAATTCTGAACCACATAATTGGATAAAAAGAAAGTCAATTTTACCGACAGAGCTTCTACACAGGTCAAAAATTCAAAGTTTGAGATAGTATTATGAAATACTAATATATCTAGTGAAATAGTAGTGTACTATTTATTGAGTGTGCATAGATCTACTCCAAGTTACATGCTTGTACTAAAATATGATCCTAAGATAATTCCATTAAAACATTTAAAAATCAAAGAAAGCAATTAAATTCCAGGATATGATACGGGTTTAGAATGAGGTATTATTCTAAATAATCTGATTGATACTGGTTTTGAAATAGGGAAAGCAGGTAATCATTATTACAGAAAGAATGCCCACAGACTGGCCCAAAATGTACAATCTCTTCGTTTCTTCAAGCCCCCCTCCCCCCCAACTTTCAATAACAACATCCCTTTTAGTTAGTTCCTATCTATCTAAAGTTAATATCCAATCACCTTGCAAATCCTATGAAAAAGGAAGCCAACCAAAATAAATGCAAAAGCTGGAGAGTCAGGTAGCACTATATTAAACCCAAATACACCACAGTCCAGCACAGCAAGTACAACATCTTTCCATAAGGCCTTGTTGTGCCTAGGAAAAATTCAGTGCATCGCAAAACTAAAAGCAGTCTACTCCACAACTGCCAGAGGCAAATTCAACCACAAATTTTTTTTTTTTTTTCCTGCACATATTCCAACTAAATAAATTAATCTTATCATTATATGAATGTTTTAGAAAGAGAACAACCGCAAAATTAACAAGCCAAGAATGTTAGTGAACTATTCACTGAAACGATTCAAGCAATGTACAGAATACAAGAGAATATTCAAGAAATGTACAGAAAACCAGAGAATATGTTATATTATTTACGTATATCCCTTGTCAGCAATCACAGAAAACAAGAGCAGTTTTTACAAGATGGAAACATGAAAGAAAGCAAATAAGCAATTCAAGTGTGCTATGCTCTCCCAAAGCCAATTACTATTGGTTTTGATTAGGTGTGTTGCACCTATTCTCCTATAAGTGTGCTTAATTGTGGGCCGCCTAATTTGAGCCATATCATCCACCCAAAATTCTGATATGTAAATTTCCACACACTTATTAAATAAGTAACAAATCTACTCACCATTTCTTCATCTTTGGTTTGTTCAATCTCCACATTGTAACTTTCCAGATATTTAGAAAACCCTGGATACTGGAGATTTCAAAAAGGAAGCTAAGTTAGATATCCATGCAAGAAGCATTGAATGATAAAAAAGAAAAACAGATACGTCATTTATTAGAGTCCGCACCTAAACATACAAATCCAAATTCAATGAAAATGAAGCTTCTCATTACTTCATCTATCTTGTACACTTAGTTCTTGACTTGCAAAGCTAACAAGTCTGCTTTTTACTATAAGAAAGAATTTGAGAATTGTATCTACTATCCTATTAAACTGAAGTACTGAACAAGTCTGAAGTAGACAGGAGTGCAAAAGTTTTTACAGGGTTCAACATCAAACACTAAATGCTTTATGTTACTGTCATCTTGACAGCTGTAATATTGTTAGGCTTGTTCCCTGTTGTTCAACCTTTTTTCTATCTGAGCATTTCTTATCCTCCTTTTAGTTGTACTGTCCTTCCTTTCCAATAAAATTTCTTTTACTATAAAAGGGAAAATAGAACACTAGCAAGGCATAATTGTTCAAAAGAAGCATCAATCAAACGAAAATCCATATGGATTTATGGAAGCAACAAACCTCTATCCATTAAACAGAAAATAACTTTTAAATAAAGAAATTAAGATTCTGTTGTAAACCACCATAAAATCATAAGATACATGGAAACCACCTTTTCTTTCAACTTGGTTAACTTTTTTGCTTTCTTCAAAAGTTCTGCACGAATATCTCTGTTTTGCACAGAAAAGGAACTGCCTCCATTGCTGTCTGAAAAAAACCTTGTGAAATGCAAGCAAAGAGGATAAATTGCAGGTCGTTTAACTGAAAGCCTATAGAAATGTCATTACCCTTGATATAACTTTCATTTTCATTGTCACTTCCAACAACATGTGCAAAGCTTGAGTCCTGGGCACAAAATAAAGAAATCAATACACAAAATATACAACAGCTAAACTAAATCAGAAATTAAAATTAACAAAAGTTTTAGCAATAAATTATAATTTAAACCTCTGAAAGAAATCCATCACTGTCTGAATCATCTCCAAGCACCTCACTGTCATCTTCACTGAATACAGCATCAAGGGAAGTGGTTTGGAATTCTTCACCAACTGTTTTTCTGACAATAAAAAATGAATTGTCAGTTATTAGTACAACTATCTCATCATTTAAGTTTACTAAATCCTTAATAATCTTGATGATAATATTCCTCACAATTACCTCGTAAGTCAAGAAAAATGTGGTGACAACAAATGGTTCATTCATCACAAAAGCATAAAAACCTACAAGCTCAGACTAAGATTAAAACAATGTGACCCTAACATTGAAGGTGATAGCTTAAAGATATGCTCTTTAATATTGCATAAGACTCTCTGGTCCAAAGGAAGAGGCTGTAGGAAACGTAACAGCAGATTTTATTTTCTTTTAAAAGGAAATTTCACAACCCCGTGATCTCTATTATAAAAAATATAAATGGACTTGATAATTATGCAAAACAATCAGTGAGAAGCTTTCCACAGAATTTCCTCTATGAATTTAAGACTACATCAACCAGTTTCATGTGGATAGAATTTTTACTGTTTTATAAAATTTCTATTACTTTAAGAACAATGCTTTGGTGGGGCAACATCCACAGTTCAAAATTCACCAAACAAAAGGAAAAGACTGCCAGAAACAACAACATCAGAATCAGTATGAGAGTAATAGAAACGAGGACATGTGATGAGAGTTGTCAGAAAATTGTACTTAGGTTAGCATTTTACCTTTCATTTGAAGCATTCTTTGTATCAAACTCATGGTTTTCTTCAATATCCTGACTATCTCCTGTTGCAGTCAAATTTTCTAGAACATTATATATTCAATTTGATGGGAAGCAGAAGGCCCAAAGACTTAATAGAGTAATACCAGGATTAGCTTATTGTTCTTTTCTAAAAAATAGTTTTATTCAGTCCACTTTTATATTTCCCAGTACATATGGTTCTTTTCTGAATTTCCTTTAACAGGCCCCTCCTGCCAAATTCTACCCAATGGAAGGAAAGTTCTAAGATCACATGGTGTACCACTCCGTATACTGGACCAACGCCAACATTATGCAGCTGATTTTTCATTTCCCAATGTCCCAACATGAAATATTTGTCAAACAAATCACTAACTTAAATTAGTCCAGCACACAAATAAATAAATAGTCAATCATGAATACTTGTTTACAAACGCAGCTCACCAGTCTAACCAAAAATATAATTTAGCATTTCAATCCTGCAATCTTGAAAGATATTTAATTGAAATTTAAAATTTTGAAATTCAAGTGCTTGGTTATTCATCATGGCGGGGCATGTCCGAGAATTTCTCGTAATTAAGTTTAGGGATATTTACCTCTCTTGGTCTAATTTCAAGAAGCTAGATGGGCATTTTCCATAATTTCAAAAATATATGTATCTTAATCCCCTACCCGCACAAGGTTTACAGAGAAAATATAACCCCCAAAAAATAATTATGAAAGAGAGAATGAAAGGAAGTGATAAGAATATAAAATGGTTACTTTGAGAAGCTTTTCTTTTGAACTTGGATTTTAACTTCCTTTTGTTCCTCAAAACAGACTGCAAATTCTTTTTTGCAAACTTCCTTGCCTTCTTCCCCAACTTTCCCATTTTGGTGGTAATATCTAAGGCAGCAGAGCAGCTGAGTGGATGCCAATGTTTGATAGGCACCAGTGAGGCTGAGGCAGAGGCAGAGGCAGAGGCAGAGGCCCAGCAGTTTTAAACGCCTTCAAGGGTTTTGTTCGGGTTTTATTACTTTGTTTTGTTGGAATTATATTCGAAAATTTGTAAGGTTAACAAAAGAAGTAACAAAAGTCAGGGAATTTTTATTTCTAATGCCTTTCCAAGCTTTCATTCAAGCGCTGTGTTCACAGTTTTACTGCTTACTAGTTGCACTAAATTATTTTGTTTTAAAATAATTTTAAAATATTAAAATTTATTTTCAAGAAAAATTATAATATATTTTTATATTTTAGAAATAAATTAACCTAAATTAAATGGTATATGTTTTATCAATTTAAAAAATAATTTTATATTGTTTAGTGGTTTGTTAAAATTATTTATCATAATAAATTTTAAAAACAAATTAGATATGTTAAGTAATTTATTAAATATTTTCATAAATTGCATGCATTTGTTTATATTTTAAATTAAAATATTTTACTTAAAAATAATTATATTTTAAATTATAAAAATATATTTCAAGAAAGTCATAAGATATTTATCATTAATTTAAAATAAACTAATTTATAAAACTATTATGCATATAAGTTTATAATAATAAAATACATATTTTTATTTTATTCACTTTAGTTATTGATTAATATATAAAATTAAATAAATAAATTTAATATGTTAAATTAAAAAAAACATGTAAATTAAGTTAAACATAGATAAGAAAAATGTAAATTTTATTTTTGTGGTAATTTTCTTCAAATTGATAATAAATATAATTTTAATATAAATACATTGAAAATTAAATGGTTATGAGTGTAGATAAAAATATATTAATTTTTCTTAATTTTTTATTATTATTAAAAATATAACAATTTACAAAACTATCATATGTCTAATTTGATAATAATATAATACGTACTTTTCATTTTAAATTTTGTTGTTGATCAATCCATAAAAATAAAAAGTAATAATTTAAAAAAAATTAAAAGTAAAATTAAATATTATAAAATTTATTAATTTTAAAATTTTAAAAAATAATTAAATTTGTTAAGAGATTTACTAAACACGAACCTGCAGCGTATGCAGATTACATTACATTTCTTCATTAAATTATTTTGTTTAAAAATATTTAAAAAAATATATATGTTGAACATAAAAAATATATTTTTAAAAATATATTTTATATTTTATATATTTTATTAATTTTGAAATAAATTAGTTACAAAAATATTATGTATATAAAATTATAATAATAAAACATTTTTTCATTTTTGTTATTTATTAATCAAGAAATATAAATAAATATATTTAAAATATTAAATTAAATGAAACATGTAGGTTAAATTAAATATAAGTAAAAAAATGTTCTTTTATTATTATCCTAATTTTTTTCAAAAAATAATCCTAAATATGGTTTTAATATAAATACATTAAAAATTAAATAATAAAAAATATTATTTTAAAATTTTTATTATCTTAAAAAATAAAATAGTTTACAAACTATCTTATAAAAATTGGTAGTGATATAATACAAATTCTTAATATTTAAAAGTTAAAATAGTATGGTTTTTAAAAATTAAAATGAAAATTAAAGTTTAATTCTATTTATAAATTTAATATTTTATTTGTTAAGAAAATAGATTTTACAATAATTAGATTTGACATATTCTAACTTCTACCCCTACATATTTTTTTGATGTAACAAAGAAATAAAGTAATCAAAAAAATAAAGTAATTAGAATACAAAAATATAAAACCAAATGAAAAATGTACTTTATTACAACTGAAAAATATTAAAATCATTTTGAACAAATAAAAATTACTAGCTAAAATTGTAGAATTTAAAGTTCTTAAGTACTAAAAATTACATAAATTGAATTTTTAAAGAAAAACAACTAAAACTAAATTTCTAATCTATTCTTTTGCTTCTTTTTCTGAACTCTCCTCTTCTTCTTCATCTTCTTTTTTACTCTCATCACTTTCATCTGAATTAACTCTTAGAGGAGTGTTTAAGTAAGTGTTCATTAGAGGAAGGTTGTTGAATATGGTGGCTCTAAGGTATTAGGCATTTTCCACCTTTGAATCATAGAGCTGCTTATTGGACATGCCCAACTTCTTACCCATATTCATCATGATGTTTTCTAAGAGCATAACTCTAGCCTTATTACTTTCATGTAGAGTATTTTGTCTTTCAGCCAAAGAGTCTTGTCTGTCCATAATTTTCTGCAGCTGTGTCTTGATTTTAAAAGGAGGATCCTTCTTGAACTTTTTAAGGACACGTGAGGCAGCAGTGACTGGGGTTGTGGCATAGATCTCCTTGATCATAGCTGCTGTAATTGGAGGAGTGGCTTTATCTCTTCTATGAACTCTCCAAAATTAACTCCTATATCTTCACAAAGTAAAGTGATTAATCTTGGAAAAGCTAAAGAATCTCTCTTTATTTTCAGAATTGCCTTGATGTTGTTATTGATCACTTCTCCCACATTGATGTAGAAGTCACTAACAATGGCAAAAATGAGCTTAGCTCTCTTGACAACAATGGTTGAGCTGTGCATCACCGGCATGAATGAACTAAGTATGAAAATACTCAATACTTTTGCAAAGGGTAGCAGGTTTTTGGTCAAAATATTCTTTGGTGTAGATATGTTTTTAACTTCATCTCTTGCACTCATTTCCTATGTAGTTCCAGGTCTGCCAATTCTGTGAAGGATTTTAGTGTAATCTTTATCAATACATTTCCCAAAATTTGAGAAATCTTGTTGTCTTTCTTCCTTCTCAATAGCAATCTTCAGAACTTTGTTGATGTTCTCAACAGAAAAGTTCACCACAGTGCCTCAAACAGCAGTGTGATTGTAGGGTAGATGTTCTTCTTTGGTCTTAATAGCATTGGCATAAAATTCTTGAATAATATCCTTGGACCCTTTCCTAGTAACAGATGTGAAAATCTCCCAACCTCTTTTCTGAATTTGTTCAAAAAATTTAGGATGTTCTCCCTCTTTCAAATCAAAATTTCGATCATGCACAATTTTCCTCCTCAAGATGTTAGTTTTGAAATAATTTTCATGTGCAATGCTTTTAAATATTGGGTCATGGTCAGGAATAGTTCTTGAAGAAGGACCAGTTGAAAATCTTCCCCTCTTAGTCCTTGGAGTTCCCCTTAGTGTGCTTGCCATTTTCTATACTGAAATTACAATTTAAACAAAGTAAGAATTAGTTTAGAATTTTTCCAAATGCGCAGGAAATATGTCAACAATTATAGCACTTTTTCTAACTCAAAACATAGAGAATATGCTCTCTAAAAACTGTGTGAATCATCAACAAGTTATAATTCAAGTAAAATTCATCAATATCTAGTTATGTTTAAGTGCAAAGTGAATTCTCAGGGTCAGCTCAACTCCTAATTTTCATGTGCAATGTGCTAAATGCAGAATAGTATGATCAATCATGTGCAGAATTAAAACTCAAAGGTAAATGTGAAATTCAGAGCTAATCAGTGTAATGCAGCAAAATAATGATCTAGAATGTCATGATCAAGTAATCAGCACCAAAAATCACATTAGTACTTATAAGATTCACTTTGAAAATCTTTTCTACACAATTGATCTATCAAAAATTATTTCAAAATTATGCAGGACATATTTCAAGCAATTTTCAACATTAAAATGCATGAATTTCACAATAAATTGCTCAGAAATCAAGTCCCATATGCAAGCATAAAACATAGCAACATGTTCATACTAAAAACCTAGTGCAGCGTCAAATCTCAATTAAAAATGACAATTTCAGCATAGAATTACTCTATCAACCTTCAATCATACATTCAAACCATATAATTCACAAAATTTGTCTCCAATTTCCAATTCCCAAATTTTTTCCAATTTACACCTTTAAGAACCCTAATCAGAAAATTCAAAATTGGAGAAAGAATTACCTAGAATTGGAGTGCAAAAATGATGTAGTCCCATTCGCAGATGATGGTAAAACAGATAATCAACAAGAATGTGATCAAAAGTGAGCAAGAAAGCGAAGATTGACAGTTAGGGTTTTAGGGTTTGAAATAGTGCATTGTTACTCTGAGGAGTTTAAATAGATACGCAGAGCAAGTAATCACTTTAATTAGGGAAAGTAAGCACTCTGAAAAAGTTTAATGAAATATAACGTCTGTGTACTTACTCTAAGCAAACAGAGTTACCACTTAAAGTTGGAGTGTGTCATTCAGGTGATTACTTCAAGTGATTGAAGTTGAGACTTAAAATTTCTGTTCTACATGCGTGTTCACTATCAATGGCGAGAGTAGTTAGCAAAAGCTTCACTCAGGTGCGCATGTTCACTATGAGCAACTAGAGTAATAACGCACAAGATATATATATGCGAGTTAACACTTTATGTAATGAGAGTGTCTACGTGCAAAGTCCACTGCAGAGATTCCTTCAAAACCTTTATGCATGTTCACTGTGAGCAACCAGATTGACAATGCATAGTTGCGTATGTCAACTTTCGCTCCCAAGAGTGGTAATGCCCAGTGTAAATCAATTGTGCATTAATATTTTATGTAATGAGAGTGTTAACGCGTAAGCTTTGCTCCAAAGTTCAAGAGTAATGGACTTTTGCCTAGACACTTTATGCACTTAGAGTGTCCACTTAAATTATCAAACTCAAAAAACAGCCTCTACGCCTCAACTCTTCTTCCTCAAAGTAATTACTCATTTGATTAACATCACTTAAAATACATCTTCATCACTTTGTTCTTGCTTAAGCTAAAGCCTGCAATTAATTGCAGTTCATTATTATTATGAAAAATCAGAATTAACCACTATATCCAGACTAAAAATTTAGAAAATGCAAAATTTTAAAATTCAAAAATAACTAAAAGTAAAATTTCCCTAGCCAGAGTAAAGGGTTAGAAATGTGAGTTGTCTCTCACAAGCGCTCTTTTAACGTCACTAGGTTGACGTCTCATGTTTCTTATTCAAGAGAAACTAACTTAACACAAGAAATGTTCTTTGTGAATACCTCTCCATGATAAACTTTCAACCTTTGGCCATTGACCTTGAACTCTCTCCCTGTCTTTTGATTCTCAATTAAAATTACTCTAAAGGGAGATACTTCTTTGATTAGAAAAGGTCTAGACCACCTTGATCTGAGCTTCCCTGGAAATAATTTTAGTCTTGAATTAAACAATAAAACTTGGTGTCCAGGTCTAAGCTGTATTTTTTAAAATGAACTTATCATGGATCCTCTTGGTTCTTTCCTTATACAATTTGGCATTTTTATAGACCTACTACCTGAATTCTTCTAGCCTCATGTAGCTGTAAAATCCTTTTCTCTCCAGCACTAGCCAAATCAAAGTTCAGCCATTTAATAGCCCAATAAGCTTTATGTTCCAGCTCTAAAGGTAAATGACATGCCTTTTCAAAGACTAATTGGTATGGTGACATACCAATTGGAGTCTTAAAGGCAGTTCTATATACCCACAAAGAGTCATCTAACTTCTTTGACCAATCCTTTCTTGAATTATTCACCACTTTTTCTAGAATTTGTTTAATTTCTCTGTTTGACACTTCAACCTGTCCATTTGTTTGTGGATGATAAGGAGTAGTAACCTTGTGTTTTACATTATACTTTGCTAAAATTGATTCAAGATGCTTATTGCAGAAATGAGCACCTCCATCACTTATTAAAAATCTAAGCACTCTAAATCTAGCAAAGATGTTCTTTTTAATGAAAGAAATCACCACCTTAGCTTCATTCGTCCTTGTTGGGATGACTTCCACCCACTTAGAAACATAATCAACTGCCAAAAAAATGTATTCATGAGAAAAAGACATGGGAAAAGGTCCCATAAAGTCAATTCCCCATACATCAAATAACTTCACTTCTAAAATATTTGTCAATGCCAACTCATGTTTCCTAGAGATGTTGCCTGTCCTTTGACACTTGTCATAGCTCTCAACATAAGTTTTGACATCTTTAAAGAGTATAGGCTAGAAAAATCCTTCTTGTAAGACTTTTGCAGCAGTTTTTGAACTCCCATGGTGGCCTCCATAGTCTGAATTATGACAATGCCACAATATCTCAGCTTATTCACTTTGTGGGATACACCTTCTAAGTAGACCATCCACCCTAATTTTGAACAAATAAGGGTCTTCCCATATATAGAATTTGCTATCATGTAGAAATTTCTTTCTTTGCTGCCAAGTAAACCTTTTTGGAATAAGTTAAGTGGCCTTAAAGTTTGCAATATCAGCAAACCAAGGAGATCTTCCACAGCAAAAAGTCTTTCATCTGGAAATTCTTCATTAATGTCTAAGGGATTAGAGGTTAAATTGTCCAATGGAAGTCTAGACAGATGATCAGCTACTCCATTTTCCTTTTCCTTTTCATCTCTAATTTCCAATTCAAACACCTGCAGTAGCAAAATCCATCTCAATAATCTTGGCTTGGCATTGTAACGCCCTTAATTTTGTAATCTTAATTATTGATAATTATATAAATCTAAATGTATTTTCATGTGTGTATTTTTAGATATATGTTGTGAATATGTGTATATATATATGTGTGTGTGTGTGTATACATGATTGGATAGGGCTGAAATGGGCTAAGTGCCTAAGTGCAGGGCGTGATGCTGGGCTATTCTCGCTGCAGCGAGAGGATTCTCGTTGTAGCAAGAGGGCCCTGGGAGGAAGGACCAGAACTGTCGCCTTCTCACTGTAGCGAGATACGTCTCGCTGTAGCAAGAGAGCGACAATCTGGGGTGCATTTCTGGATGCAGTCTTGCTGATTCTGCAGAAATTAGGGTGTAAATTTGTCTGATATTTTCGCTGCAACGTAAGGGTGTGTCGCTACAGCGAGGTCCCCTCGCTGTAGCGAGAGTGTCATGATCAGAAAAAGATTTAAAGAGGTTAGGGTTCGGGGAGAGTTATTTCTCCCTCTCCCTTCGATCCTCTCATCCCCAAAGTCCTTTTTCCACCGAGTAATTGCCTTCAAAGCCGTTTTGGAGCTTGATTGAAGGTTGAATCTGCGTGGAGAATGCTTGGAGGTGAGTTTTAATGGTTAGGGTTCCGTTTCTCATCCCCTTTCCTCTATTTTTGTGGTTTCCCTGGGTTTTCATGAGATTTCTCCATGTGTTTAGGACGAAATCTGTGAGGGGAGCATTTTTTGGTGGATTTAGCGTGTGGGTCTTCAATCCAAGGTAAGGGAAGATTTTACCCTATCTCAATGTATTGTAATTCTTGTGTGTTTTGATGATTAATACAATAGTGGCTGAGATAGAGAGTAGGAATTGTGTGTTTGATGGAAATTAGTATGCAATGTGATGTGTGCTAGAATAGTTAGGCCCCGTGAAGGTGATTGTGTGTGATAGAATGCCATTGATTGGTGAATTAATGATATTGTAGATAAAATGTGGGCTATGTGTCGTATAATATGAATTGAATATAGGCTGTGTGCTGTGTGCCGTGTGCAAGCATGATTACTGCATGCGTGAATGAAATGTATGTGAATGAGGCGTGTAGTATCGTTGTAATGTGCCGTGAATGGTTCAACGATACACTGGGGATGTGAGAGATGAGAACGATAAAAATACCTTGGGGAAGAGGGAGTGGTGGTGACACCAACTGTGAAACGGGTGCACCACAGGCCACACACTATCTTCCTGACTAGACCTTTGACCATTATCCTTGCTGAGCGACTCGTGACCGCCCACGTGGTATCCATGAGGCAGGGGTAACCAGCGACCATTCATAGTGTAAATCTGTGATCACAGTGCCACAGTGAGTGTGGTTGGCGTGCATATGCATGGGTTTATGTATTGTACTTATAGGTGTGATAATGCTGTTCGTGATTGTGTTTGTTTAATGTATTAGAAATGTTCTGGAGGTGAGACTCTAAGTTGATTGTGTATTTTTGGGTAGTGTAGAATACTCACCCTTACATTCATTTTTCAGGTAATCAAGACGATCAGTACCGGACTCAGTGAAGGGACGGATGAACTGCTATAGGACTTAGATTTTATTTTGAAATTTGTTGTAATTGAACTAGTCATGTAGCAGTTATTTGATATTAATTTGTAACTCTTCACTTATTTCGAAATCTTTTATGAAAATTTGATTATCTGATTTGTGAAATTATTATTTAATTAAAATTAAATTAAAGGTGTTACAGGCATTCTGTTTGGACAACAAATATTAAAGTGCAGAATGGTCACTATAGACTATGACTTTTGATCTCATCAAATGTGATCTAAATTTATCAAAAGCAAACACAATGGCAAGCCTTTTCAGTAGTTGTATAATTTACTTGTGCAGAATTTAATACTTTGCTGGAATAATAAATGACATGCAATTTCTATCCTTTTTCTGTCCTAGAACAACACCTACTGCACTATCACTTGCATCACACGTTAATTCAAAAGGTAAATTTCAATCAGGTTTTGCAAGAATAGGTGCAGAGATAAGTTTCTCTTTCAAAACAGAAAATGCATGCAAACAAGAATCATCAAATACAAAGTCAGCATCTTTAACAAGTAAATTACTAAGAGGTTTTGCTACTTTTGAAAAATCTTTGATAAATCTCCTAGAAAAGCCTGTCTGACCTAAGAAACTCCTAACTCCCTTAACATTAATTGGTGGAGGCAGTTTACTAATAACTTCTATTTTTTCTTGATCCACCTCTATTCCTTTTTCTGAAATTCTATGACCAAGGAAAATTCCCTCTTGGACCATGAATGACACTTTTTCTAATTCAAAACAAGGTTAGTATCTTGACATCTCTGCAAAATAATGGACAAATTAGCTAAATAATCATCAAAAGAATTACCAAAAACAGAAAAATCATCCATAAACACTTCAATAATTTTCTCTACTAAATCAGAAAAAATGGACAACATACACATTTGAAAGGTAGCAGGAGAGTTGCACAATCCAAATGGCATTCTTCTATATGCAAAAACTCTAAATAGACATGTAAATGCAGTCTTCTGTTGATCCATAGGGTCCATCGCTATTTGATTGTAACCAGAATATCCATCAAGAAAACAACAAAATGCATGTCTAACTAACCTTTCCAACATTTGATCAGCACACATGGAAAGTGATTCTTTCTAGTTACATCATTTAATTTTTTTATAATCAATACACATGCACCAGTCCGTGACAGTTTTAGTAGGAATTCATTCATTCTTTTCATTAGGCACAATAGTTATCCCTCCTTTCTTAGGGGTTTGAAATTAGGTAAACAATCTGTGCATCTAGCAGTTTCATTACTTCTTTTCTCACTACTTCTTTCATGGCTAGATTTAATCTTCTTTGTGGCTGTACTATTGGTTTGTAGTTCTCTTCAAACTGAATTCTATGCTTGCAAAAAGCTGGATTGATCTTCTTTAAATCTGAAATATGCCAACCAATTGCTGATTTGTGAGATCTTAATATTCTCAACAAGTTCTCTTCTTCTTCTCCCTTGAGATCATTGCTAATAATCACTGAATTTTCATGTTCTTGGTCTAAGAAAGAGTATCTCAAGTGAGAAGGCAATTGTTTCAACTCCAGTTTCTTAGTCTTCTCTTCCTTTATTTCATTTCTCAGTTCTTCCCTTACTGGATTTTCCAAAAAAGGAACAATTGGCAAGGTGTCCAGTTGCTGCACATATTCTCTCAAGTGTTCTTCTTTTTTTACAGCAGCAAAATGATTCCCTACAACTATTGTTTCCCTTAACAATGAAATCTCATCATCATTATCAATAAAATGAGAGAAAGTAATAGAGTCTAGAATATCAACCCTCATGCAAGTAATATCATTATTAGGATGTTTGAGTGCCTCAAATACATTGAAAATAACATTCTAATCCTGCACTCTCAACATAAGCTCTCCCTTTTGAACATCAATTAAAGCTCTCCCGGTAGCTAAGAATAGTCTGCCCAAAATTAAAGGAATATTGACATCCACTTCCATATCTAAGATCACAAAATCTGCAGCAAAAATATTTGTCAATTTTAACTAATAAATCCTCTACAATACCATGAGGATATGTGTAAGATTTGTTCGCAAGTTGTAGAGTTATGCTAGTGGGTTTGACTTCTTCTATTCCAAGTTTCTTCATGATAGCAAGAGGCATGAGGTAAATGTTAGTCCCAAGATCACATAGAGCTTTCTCCACGGTACAATTTCTAATGGAACATGGAATGCTAAAAGAACCTAGATCCTTTAATATTTTAGGGAGCTTCCTTTGCAAAATAGCACTACATTCTTCAGTCAAAGGGACTGTTTTATCATTCTCAAGCTTTCTCTTCTTAGATAACAGCTCCTTCATGAATTTAGCATAGGAAGGCATTTGCTCAAGTACTTCAGCAAAAGAAATATTTATTTGAAATTTCTTGAAGACATCTAGAAACCTCTCAAACTGCTTTTCTTGTTTCGGATTTGACATTCTTTGAGGATATGACAGTCTATTGTATTTCTCCTCATCAATAGGCTGATTTGCTTCCTCAAGTATTTGCCTCTTTGCCTTTCTCACAGCCCTTGGAAAACTTTCTTTTTCTGAATTTTCTCTTTTCAGCAAAGTAAATTTTCCTTCATGCAAGTCAGATTTCAACTTCTCCTTTGCAGCAGAATTACTTCCTCTCTTTTCGGTAGATTTGGGACTCCCACAACAGCCCCACTCCTAGTCATTACAACTTGACATTGCTCTTTTGGATTAACAACTGTATTGCTAAAAAATCTCCCTTCTTCTCTGCTGGATAATTGCTCAGCAAGTTGTCCAATTTGAGTTTCAAGCTTTTTCATGGAAGACTCTTGATTCTTGAAGCTTGTTTGGGTCACTTTCATAAGTTGCAGCATGGTTTCTTCCATTTCACTCAACCTTTCAATCATAGGCTTTGAGAATTTTTTTATTCCTTTGAGGTTGAGTGGTAAGGTTCCCTTGAAAATAGGATTGTTGTGTTGTTGGACTTGCACTAGCAAAAGGTAAAGTTGAGTTAGAATTCTTTGCAGCAGAATTTTGAGAACTCCAATTATAATATTGTTGGTTTATGCTATTAGAATACTGAAAATCAGGTAGGAATAAAGGTTGTTGTCTTTGAAAATTTTCTATATAATTAATTAGCATGATTTCCTCCACAAAAATCACAACTAAGTTGTATGTTCTGAATTGGTGCATCCTGTAAATTGTTTATTTGTTGAGTTAGTGCAACAATTTGCTCTGAGAACACTTGATTTTGCAACTAGTTTTACGCAAAAAAAGTCTCAAGAATTTTAGCTTCATATCCTCCACTCCTTATAGAGTGTCTTGAATTAGAATTTTGACGCATAGATGAAGCCATCATTTCTATAATCCGCTGAGCTTCCTCTAATGATTTAGTATTCAATGATCCTCCTGAAGCTGCATCAATCATAGTTCTAGTGGCTGGACTCATTCCATCATAGAAAGTTTCCAGCTGCATCTGTTCCGATATGCAATGGTGTGGACACTTCTTCAATAGCTCTTTATATCTTTTCCAAGCCTCATATAGAGATTCCCCTTCTTGCTGCACAAATGATGTAATCTCTCCTCTTAATTTGCCAACTTTAGATAGTGGAAAATACTTGGTAAAGAATTTATTGACAAAGTCTGCCTAAGTGGTTATCCTTCCTTGTAGTTGAATTACAGCCAACACTTTGCTTTATCTCTTAAGGAAAATGGAATTAGTCTCAATCTAATTGCATCCTTGTTGACTCCATTCATCCTTATTGTGTTACAAAGCTGTAAAAAGTTAGAGATATGTAAGTTAGGATCATCTGAAATTGAACCAAAAAATTGATCTTGCTGAACTAAATGAAGTAAAGCTAGTTTTATTTCAAAATGGTTGACTTGTATAGTAGGTCTGACTATAGAGGAGTTGTGTCCCTGTATGTTAGGTACTACATAATCTCCTAAAGTTCTCAACATGTTCTGTTTAGCCATTATCTTCTCTTGTGGTATTGGTGCTGTAGAAGAAGGAATTTGAAGTTTTTTCAATTTAGGAGTATATGGAGTATATTCCAATTCTTATTCTTTGCTTGCTGAATTTCCTACTCTTAATTTGTTTCTCAGCCTTCTTAATGTTCTATCTATGTTTGGATCAAACACAAGAGCAGTCTTGTTTTTATTTTTCTCACGCATATAACAAAAGGAAAACTAAACACAGCATGAACACTTGAAAAATGATCAAAATACAAAACAATATAGTATAGAAAAATTACTAGCAGAATATCCTACTAATATCTAAACATGTAACTACACAAAATGCAATGATACAAAATTTATAAAAAACTAGACAACAAAGGTATACAGAAAAACTAGCAGAAAATGCAATACAAAATTCAATTGATAAAAATAGAAATTTAAAAAAAGAAACAGAAAACAAACAACTCAATCTACTTGTCTCCTTGCTACTAATAATATTGAAAAATAAAGATCTTCGACAACAGCGCCAAAAACTTGTTACGAAATTGGATAACTACTAACTAGCAAGTGTACTAGGTAGTTGTAGCGAGTAATAAAATTTTGAAAATCAATATGAGTCCCAAGTATCGTTGACAAGGATCTTATTTTCAATTACCACTTCACAATTTGACAATTAGTTGAGCCACACAATTCATTTGGAAGATTTGTAACATGTAAAAAGATGAGAGATCAGAACAATAAAAGGTAATAAAATGCTGTAAAACAGAATACAAATTTTAGATTGAAAATGCTATGTAGAAAATAGTTAAGAATCACTTCACCAGATTTTCAATTGCAATATAATCATGTTCTGGACTCTTGAGAATTTTAATTAATTAATAATCAATTTTACTTCTTTAACCAAAGCACAATTTCTTGCTTCATTGATCCTAATACTTAATTAAACCTCCCTAATTTCTTAGGTGAAATTTAATCAAATACTGCATTAAGTTCTGAAAATTATAGGATTACTAGATCATGATACTTATTCTTAAGATCTGAATAACTTAGGCATATGATTCAAATCTGAGAAATAAACTCAATTTTCATTGATAAAGATTCCTCTAAGTTTAATTAAATGAAAGATTAATTCACAACTGCATTAAGAACATAATCATATACTCAATTCAATTAACATCTCAAGATCCAAATCCAAAATTACATCACAATATCAAATCTGGATCCATAGATCCCTAACCAAAAAGGTTTAGAACAACATTACAATGGAAGAAGGGGAAGTAAGAGAAGAAGAAGATAAGAAGCAGAAGAACATCTTCTAAGACCTAATCTTCATCCTGATTCCTCTAGCAATGAAGCTTGAAAGTCGCTCCCAATCCCTCTCTCTGACTTCCCTTGAAAGTTAAAACAGTTATAAAGTGAAAATTAACAAAAATGAACAAAAGTCCCTTAACCTAAACTCTTAACTTCAATTTATATTCTTTTTTCTGCCTTTTTCACTTCTTCAATTTAATCTCTGAGAATTATAATATGAAAAGTCTTCTAGAAGCTTCTATGGCTGAGATAGGAATTCAAATCGTCCAAAGTTGACACTTTAAAAGTGATTTTCAAAATTCTTTTATTTTGCATGGACACTTTCAATGACCAGAGTGTCCACGCACATGTGTTTTCAAAACTTTTGGCTTGGGCGTGTTCACTTTCAGTAGCTAGACTGTTAACGCGCAGCTGCCCGTGTCACTGGCTCAGCTCTAGGAATCAAATCTATAGCAAACTCTACCTCTATACGTGAAGGTATTCCAGGAATATCCTCTGGGAAAATCTGAGGGAATTCCCGTACTACTGGTATTGACTGAAGGCTTTGCTCCACTTTTGCATTCATAACTCCCAACAAAACAAAACAAGATACTCCTTCACCTAAGGATGTTTCTACTTGGTGAGTAGAAATCAATTCCACACAGCCTTGCTGCTCAGGAAAGATTAAACACCTCCGGCCACAATCAATTAGCACACAATTGGCAGTTAGTCAATCCATACCCAGGATTACATCTAACCCTGACATCGGGATACAAATAAGATTTACCTTGTACTTTCGTCCCTCAATTACTATGGGGCACCTAACACAAATCGTCGAAGTCTTAATCGAACTTAAAGTAGGTGTCGATACTACCAATTCACATCCTAGATCGCTCACTGATAACCTTAAGTTTCTCTCACAAATATCCACAATAAAATAATGCGTGGCTCCAAAATCAAACAACACAGAGAGAAGTACTTGCCATAGCCTCCATGGCGTGAGCCATTTTGTTCACGTCAACTAGAGGAGGAGGGTTTGCAGCAGATCTTCTCGGTCTAGCCATCCTAATATATAGACTAGCTTAAACTACTAATGTTTAACACATTCAGCAATACCACCACATAACTATATTCACAAATTCAGCTTACAGTAATATATTCATATTTAGTATATCATAACAATTTAATAAATTTAGCACCGAGCATAACATCATATCAGCATTTCACACAGCATAGCAAACACACTTATCTCAGCAATCATTTATAACTTAGCTTAACAGCCTCTTATTTACATAGTACAACTCGCCTATAACTCACCCAAGTTATCATATACAAAGTTTCTTACACCCCGTAGGTTTACCTAGACCATGCTCTGATACCACTAAAATGTCACGACCCCTTTTATAAGGAACCGAGAACATTATTTCTACACCACATACTTATTTAAAATAGGTAAATAATAGAGAATATAAGTATAAAATTCACTTCTCATTCAAAATAAAATAAATTTTCTTACAACAAATATCCAACAGAACAACATAATATTACATTTAGTTTATAATATTCAAAATACCAAAAATTATACTACGTAACTCCTTCTACATGAGGTTTCAAAATATAAAGAAAAAGGACTTTAATGCAAGATTATTCAACTCCAGCTTCTAACATTTCTTCACTGGCCCTTGAGCCTGTGAAGTAGATGCAACACTTGCTACATCTGCTCACATACCACCGTACGATCATCACAGTATACACGCACACAACGACATAGAAAGAAATGTAAGGGTGATCTTACAAAAATAAACTAAAATCATATATATATAGCAAAATATTACTCACAACAACAGCCCCATGCATTACCAGCCTATCTAATGCACAGCATAAAAACGGTTTCTAACTGGTTTCACAGCCTAAGTAATCCAGAAGAAACCGAGCCGGTCTGGGAGCGACCCATTCCGGTATCTGGATCTAGACAGCACAGCACAAGAGCTTAGCATGAACTTACCGTTACACGTCTACCCACCTAAACATGTAACTCAGCTCTATAATGATGCAAAATATATATCTCAGTATGATGTACACTGCCAAAATTATTTTAATAGCTCAACTAAGGCAAGTTTATAATAGATCAGCCAAAATCTCAGCATTTTAAGTCATATAACAGCAGTTACATCTTAGAAAATAGCTTTTATTCAATAGATCTAACAAAATCATATCAAAACATCTTGAAATAGCATATTAAACCGTTCAAAACGTAGTTCATAGGTTAAAGTAAGCTCCCTTTACCTCAGAACGATGATTCACAGTAGATTTACCAAATATTACTTGTTTTATAACAAGATTCACCAAAGATTTGGCTTTAGAACGGAGTTTCTCCTAAGAACACCATGAACTTCTATGAGAAAGAGAAGAAGAGAAATGAACGGTAAATCTAGCTTCAAACTTAAAGAAACTTACTTCAAATCCTTCAGAATAGATGTAGAATCTCAGATCTGGCGAGAAATCTAAGTTTAGGAGGGTTTATTATGGAAGAAAATGGCAGTATATGGCCTTAGAACCTTTGAGAACCTTAAATATGAGTAAAGAAATGAAAATTTCGTGTGAAGCCCCTTTTTATAGAAATTTTTTGAAATTTACTGTTTACTGACAGAAATTATTGTTCACCGCCTTACTGTTCACGCCGGAAACACTGTTCAGGACACTATTCACGTCAGAAATACTATGCACACGTACTGTACGCGTACTTGACATCAGGATGATGTCAGCGGTCACTGTACATACGCGATTTTTACTATTCACACGCTATTTTGCACTGTTCATAGGCGGTTTTACTGTTCATACGGTACTGTTCACTTTTTTTTTTTTTTCAAACTCCATCTAAATCTATTCCAATACAAAATAATCCTTCAATTAACATTGAACAAGTATAAAATATTATAGATTACTCAATAATAAATCACTAGCCTGACAGCCCGTGGCTACTCTTAGTGGCGAGAGTGTTAACGCGCATGGTTCTTGGGCAAATTAGAGGCGTTATCACTCTCAGCAGTCAGAGTGTTAACGCACAAGCCCTTTATGAATTATGTTGCTGGAGTGTTAACTTTCAACACTTGGAGTTGCTACGCACTTGATTTTCATAAATTTTCTTCTTTAAAATGTTAACTCTATGCACCCAAAGTGGCTACGCCTCATACAAAACACTTGATTCTTGATTTTTTTAAGCCCAAT